AAAATTTGGTTCAGTGTTAAAAATATTTCAGATTACTAATTTTCATCATGGCTAAAGGAAATGCCGCAGAAAATGACGTTAGAAAAGTAATACTACACCAAATTAGCAAATACCCAACTCTGTAATTTCCCGCACATTCTATTTTGATCCCATATGGCTTTTATTCATTTATTTATGAGGATCAAGTTTTTCAGTTGTTTTCTACATTCTATATTCATTTAATAGTTATTGTTTTAACTAGTCAGATTTACACAATAGGAACTACTGGCTGCTGGTAATATGCTTCCCAAGCTATCCATGACAAGGTCCATTTCATTCTTGAAGAATGATAAACTTCTATGCTGCAGCTTCCAGAAGAGTTACTTCCACTACTAATCCATTAGCAATGTATTCAGGTTCTTCAAGAATATCCACTAAACCATCTTTAAACACAAGAGGAACAACTGAGAGATGTGCAATTATGACGCTTCTGTACTTCTTTAACATGTGATGGTCGCATTGGCAGTTTTAAATCTTCAGAGAGTTGTGGAATTTAACCCTTAGTATCTGAGAAGGGGGTGCTGATGTTGCAATTTTCACTACAACTTGAAGATGAACTCAGTGCACTTGAACCCGCCGCAGATTCTGGAAAAAAAACAACCCACATATAGATTAACAGGTTATTATACAGTTAGGTTTGTATATATTTCTAAATTGCTTCCTGAACTTTTCCCTAAATGGTGTAAAAGAAACTTGCAAAGATGAAACAATATAGATACAATATAGATACATCTGTATATTAATCCAAAGAGTACAACATTCCACCAAAGGGGAAGGGATATCTAAGCAAAGACAACTTTTTAAAAGATATACGATGAAATATATTTGATAAGTGAAACTAAATGCAATCATCTGCAAAGTGAATCTTACCCGAGCTGCTGAGAGAGAAAGCAGATTTGGAGTTACTGAGTAATGGTATCAGAATGTTGATAGGGACCCACCCTTCTTTGTTTGTGCTCAAGTTCCGCAGATACCTAAAAATACACAATTGCTGTCAAACTGTTGTCCAGATTTCCAGCTGTGATCTGAATGCAAGTTAGACTCTCATTCTCTCATCTCAGATAATCTTTTATCTTGTAAATTCTCTCCTGAGGGGTTCTGGATATGATAACAAATATATTAAATGTAAATTTAGTTTGAGAAACAAATGGAAAAACTTATTGGATTTGTGAATTGGATTAACTTTCCAAGGCTCTGCTATTTATACTGAATTGTTTTAGTTTGCTCTATACCGTATTGTTGTAATTTTATCAAAGACTGTTCTTATAAGGGGTGTGTGGAAGCAATATTCTAAGCTTCTTCAATATTTCTTAAACATGGTTACATATCTAGAATAGTGTATACTGAGCAAAATTATATTTCAATATATTTTGTATTAAAATACAATACCAAAGACCATCTGCTCCTTCATGGATTAGCTGAACTAACTCGCCACTGTTCAGGATCAAGCCATTTGAGTTGCCTTTATCATAAGTGGCTACAACAGTATATTTACCAGGAACCTAAATAGAAAAATGAGAAACCACAATTGTTTAATAAGAAATAATCATCTAAGTATTAGAACTGTCACAATAAATAGATTGACATTTGGGACATAACTGAACAGTGGTATCAGTTTAGTTTTTCCATAAAGAAGTTCCCAAAAGCAGTCTTCTAGGTTAAATTAAAGACCATTTAATAACTTTTCAGGATTACAGCTTTCTAATATGTATGTGACATTACATTCATACATCTAAATATTCAGAATATTTAATAAATGTTATAATTATAACTTATAATTATGTTATGTTACTAATAGCTATTTTAGAATTGTTCAAATCTATATATAACTCTTTTCTGTACTGTAATTATAAAAACACAAACATTAATTTTTCCTTAGTGATTACTTGTTGAGTGAGTGGATTAAGACATCTTATCACATTTCTACTATAAAGATGAAAGTTACCAATTTCTTTTCTCCCTTTCCCTCTTCTTCTGCATCTGATGAATTAAGTGGATCTTCTGCACTAGACCAACCATCATTTTCTTCAGAAGCATCAAGAGATTGAGATGTTTTGGACCAACCTGAATACATCAATACATTATTATTAGAAGACATTTGAGGTTCTCTCTATCTCTCTCCCTGGCCCCTTTTTCTCAACATAAACTTACAGATACACATATAGTTTTAGTATAAAAATACAGAATCCATTTGGAACTAGGAATGACAAAACAAAATGAATTCAAATATGGCTAGTCTTCTTTTTTTCCTGCTATTAGTCTTACATTCCCTGAATTTTGGTTTTAAACATGAATAATGTTACATTAAATTATACAGAAATATTTAATGATACTACCATAGTGTTTAATATTTTATATTACAAAATAAGGAACTCATTCAATACTGGCAAAAGTATGCTTCCAACAAACAAATAATAACCCCTGCATTTAATTTCAAGTCTTTCACTTCCAGAATAAGTAACTACTACAGAACAGAAATATACATTTTCTTTATTTAACAATACAGTTCCAAACAACTGCACATATCATCTCATGTATCTTTCGATATTGGTTTACTAGTCTGTCTTCCTGTCCTACTTTATTTATCACATGCAAGAAAGTAAACATATAGCTGCAAGAATATAATTAGAAAATGTTTAGCTGCTCATGATGACACTTAGTTTCTATTGAATAAAATACAGGGGCTGCATTTGGTAGGATGGTTCAGGGAGAATTTGAATGTATTTTCCTTAATAGCTAAGTTTATTCAAGTACATTTAGTACATCCTGATTATTAGAACAATTTCTTTAATGGAAAATATCTGGAAATGTCAAACAAAGGAAACATAGGAGAGATATTTGTGTCTGAGAAATTTTTTTTTTCTGAGATTTTTGCAGTCTGTAACTACCAGATCCTGAAGACATATAAACTTAGTCAATCACAGATTGCCAGTATGGTGCAGAGGTCAATGGGTTGCACCGCAGCTAGAAGTACTTCAGTTTATATTGGACATTATATTGGTCACCTGAATCAAATTAGATCTGATACAGGGACAGAGGACTGAAAACTCCACCATCTTTATTTTATTGAAAGAAAAGCTGGCTGGAGAGAAATGTAGGACAAAAGAAATTATTTCTCTTCTATAGCTCTACTCTAAATCACATGCTCATTCAGCTGCCATTAGTCATAGAGGACCTAAAGAGATACATACCTTAGTAGAGGTGGTCCTTAGTTAGCAATGGCATCATTTAGTGACCATTCCAAGTTAACTAACATTATGACCAATACTCACATTTATGAGAACTGTAAAACCGAAGTAAGATCATAAGGATAGTCATGGTTTCACTTAGTGACTGCTTTGCTTAACAACCAAGTTGCAACTGCTAAACAAGGATTTTCTGTGTGTCTTATTTTTCTTCTCTGCACTAATAGCATTTCGAGCAAGGAACAAATTCCCAATAGTGAACTGATAAAGGTTTCCTATCTTTAATTTAGCCCTCTCCTTTCATCTTTTCTGAAAGAACAAGATGTTAGAAGTTACAATTATGGAACACATTTAGATTGCTGGTCATTATGATTTTGTCATAATGGTAAATGGAAAACCCTCTGATTACATCCTGACATCTTCAGAAACAGAAACATGCAGATCCACACAACAAACAGAAATTCTAAAAAGAACTAAAAAGGAAGCTTTATTAAATAAATAAATTTATTAAATAAATTATTCAATGAAGAATTAAAAGGCGACAATCCTATCTACCAAATCCTACCATGACTAAATCAAGCAAGCAACCTGTGTTTGAGAGCAGGTCTGTTGTGTCTCAAGTGGGCAAGGAAAGAAAGCCACAACAAACCACACCATGCAGAAAGTTCAGCGATCTAGGCCCAAGAAAAAAATATGTTACCTTGCCTGCCTTGGGCTGTTAGTAAAAGGTAAGTAGCGCTGACCCACTTTGCCCTGTTCCATGTTAACACAGACTTTGCATCTGTGAAAGAACTGAATAATAAATATCCCTCTTTCATCACGCTGTAGCTATATTACTTCTATTATTGGAGGCTATATTTAACCTGTTCATAATTTAAATGGATGCCCATAAGCAGTTTGTTTTGCATAGCCGTACCCATATAGAGATAAGGTTTTTCATATTCCATGTAGATTCTGTATAATTTGTGGGAATGTAAGGCTTAATAATATTTAAAAGAGTAAGTGCAATGCAATAAATGGAAATGCAAGGAACCAGAGTATTTAATGAGTAACTTGATTTCTGATACATAGTGACCCCTAATGAGTACTATAAGAATTGGGATGAGATATATACTCTAGGATCTTCCTTATATTATATCCTTATATCAACAGGGCTTTCTTCTTTTTCCTTTCACTGATGCCAGCTGCTTGCTTGCCAGGAAGAGAGTTGATGAATAAACAACCAAGAGCAACCAGCAGCAAGTTTTCTTCTTCCTCCTCAGTTACTTTTACCTTCAGAATGGATACAGAAAACTCAAACTCTTTTTGTTATTTACCAGACAACTTGATTTTTGGATTTCAAACCTGGCGGCCCTAGTAAGGGACAACAGTAGCCACAGGGTTACAGTTGTGAGACTCCTGCCAGGTCAAAACATGCTAATCTTTTATGCTGCCTATATTTCAGATATGAGATTCATGTTTTACACTGGCAATTTTCAATAATTTCCAAATGAGAGTTGCAGATAGGTAGATCAGACAAAGGGAGGTTTCATTTTTTTAATCTAGGGCTTCCTCATAATTTATTTTATACATATTTTATGAGTTTATTTTATCATGGATACAAATTATTATGCTTGCTATACTCTGCTATACAACTATTATGCTTGCTATACGAATTATTATGGTTCCTATACTCTAAGTGATCTCATCCATTCCCTTTATCCAGTGTCATCTTCTATCACCGTCACCTCGGCTTGCAGAATGTAATCACATCTTTTATTCTATCATCTGCCCACATTATCTGCTCACAGCAGAACTGCTTGAACTTCATTTGAATGGATTATTCGATATGTTGACTCAGCCTTTCATTCTTCCAAGGTTGGTAAAATAAGTTGGGGGCAATATGCTGATTCTTAAACTGCTTAGAATGGGCTATAAAGCACTCTGAGTGGTATACTGTAGAAGTCTAAGTCTTATTGCTACTTCCAGATTTCAAGGCTGATTGATCAGTTCTTCTGCAGCCTTTAGATCTGTAGTAATAATCAGATCCATTATTTCTACAAAAGTTTCTCGATGTTCATCTTTTACAGGCACAAATTAACACTGGAAATACCTGTGATTTAATTATACGGATTGGTATTGCCATCAACATAGACTTATCATTAATAAACTTGCCTAAGTTTTTCCCCACTTTTCTTCCCTAAGATTAATCTGTTCTTTTATCTCTTGAGCACACTGTCTATCCTTATTCCTGATTTAAAGAAAATTGAACTGTT